ATGTGAGGACAGTGAGAAGGCGGCCACCTGCAAACCAAGGAGCGAGGCTTCGGGAGAAACCAACCCTGCCAACACCTTGATCTTGGACTTCTGGCCTCCAGAACTATGAGAAATAAACTTCTGTTGTTTAAGCTACCTAGCCTGTGATATTTTGTTACGGCAGCCCTAGCAAACTAATATAGAAAGAGAGGGAAGGACCACCTTGTGCCCACTAGGACAGAAAATGGGGTGGGGGACTAGTAGGGAGGCCAGTCAGTGTCAGCGGCATTGCTAGGGCGGTGGTGGGACGGGGACATCCTGAGTTCTTTACAGAAGTGTGCACAGGACCGGGGCGGGGGGTAGGGGGGAGAGTGGCTCTGCATAAAACCAAGAAATAAACAGACTTAGAGGGAGGAAACAGCTCAGAGAAAGGAAAGGGGCTTTGCTCTTGCTCCGAGTTGGGTCTGACAGGCACTCCCTGTGCCTCCAGCCCCTCCGACCACGTGTTATGATTGATTCTACCACCTGGCTCCCTAAAAAGTCCTAAAAGCCCAGATAAAAGGACACTGAGCATGAAGCCTCGTCACCCCTCCAGGGGCCACCAGGACCATGGAGCAACCTTCCCGTCACCTTCTTTCCTGCCCTAAGCACTGCTGAGGAAAAGGCCAGTGTGGTCTCTGTTACCCCCGGTGCCCAGAAGCCAGCCCGTGCCAGACAAAGCTCCAGTCACAGGGGGACACCAGCTGAGCCGGGTGCCAAATGTCCATTCAGTGATCATTTCTCCCAGCCCAGTGGGTCATGCCGTGGGGGGCGCTCTGGAGCCCCTCAGGATACACCCCACCCTGGCACCCAGGTAGCCCTGTGGGGGTCTCACCAAGCCCCCCGCACCTCCCAGTGGCTTCCCACCCAGCACAGAAACACAGTAAGGTTACTTGTTGATGGGTCGTCCAGCAGGGGCGTGTTCTACCTCATAACCTTCGCGCCGCAAAACATCCAGCACTGTGTTGTTGCCCATGAAATGACCTGCAGTAAGAAAAATAATCAGAAATGCGACAGCTCTCCTGACCACCAAACATATCCCTCAACACACACCCTCCGGAACAACGAAAAAGCCCTGCCAACCCCCCTGCCCTGTGTACAGTTCCAGGAAGCTTCTGCAATCAGGCCTCCCGAGACCCCCGCAGGCAGGCAGACAGAA